AAGAAAAAAAGGTCACCGATTGCTACTAAGAATCTAACAGAACTTTTCAAAATTGAAAACGGATCAGTCGACCTGGTCTACGAATCTATTCTAACTATCAACGAATTCTTCAAATTTTAGGCGGGATGGGGATTGTAATTATTTAGACTTCTCGAGGTATAATGACAGACCGGGAGGCTAGATTCGAAGGAATCGGCGGATCAATTTTGTGTTATATATGGTAATCCTTCTGCGAATTAGATCCTAAATTGACTATTTGTGAAAAAAGAGAAAGGGCGGGTTGTATAATCTCACTCCTCCCCCATTAGTTGAGACTTCAAGGAGGTTTTCCCCGGAATGAAAGAAAAAAAAGAAACTGGTTCACGTAAGAATGGACGTCTTGGTTCACGCAAGAGTGCACGTAGAATACCAAAAGGACTTATTCATGTTCAAGCAAGCTTCAACAATACCATTGTGACTGTTACAGATGTAAGGGGTCGGGTGGTTTATTGGGCCTCCGCCGGTACTTGTGGAAGAGGGGGTACAAGAAGAGGGACACCATTTGCTGCTCAAACTGCAGGGGGAAATGCTGTACAGTAGTGGAGTAAGGTATGCAATGAGCGGAAGTTATAAAAAAGGGTCCAGGTCTCGGAATCCCATCTTCCAAGGTCAGGAGCCACGGAGCCAGAAGACCGTTCGACGATCCTACTTCTGATGTCATCCCCTTCTGTTCCCTCCCTGTTAAATATCCCAACTATTCTATATCCAATTCCGGGATGGATCATGAAAGATTTTGTCTTGAAATGCCGATAAGGAATAGCCAGTTATAGAAGCGGGTGGCAGGGAATGAAAGCACTCCTATGCTATCAAAGTAGAGATATTAGTTAGAGCTAGGGGCAGGCCATCTATTCCTGCTTGACTTTCTTCAAGATACGAAATGAGCAGCCGTTTTTCGTGACATCATATCACTATTCGGCAAGTCAATCCCGCTTACTGGCTCAATATATCTCTCAATAGATTCGCTTGCCACAACCACCGGACAGGATAGGAGATCGCCCAACCTTCCAATTTATCTTTCTGAAGCAACTATAACGGATGGGCAGCTTCCCTACCCACTGGGGATTTTTTTCCCCGTTCCAACTTCGGATTCTTGGAAATCATCCCCGGTTCTATGATTTAAGGTTAGGAGTTTCATTCTTAGCAAGATCCCCAGCTATTGAATCTGTTGTCATCGGCGGGGCTACTTTTTCTTCTTTCGAAATGAGAAGAATAGCGTAGTCAAAGTAGGCCAAGTCGGTAGCCTTTTCTGAAACTCTTGGGAGAAGGGCTGTAGGATTAGAAAAAGGCCTAACTGCTGTTGAAGGAATAGAGGCTGTTTCGACTCTTGGAGTAAGGGGGGGAAGGGCTGAGTGCCGGTGAAATGCTTTTTTAGACTTACCCCGCTCAATGGAAATTTATTTAGGCAAGATCCCACGTCCAAGAGTCTGATTCTGATTCTGCTTTCACTCTTATCAAGGAAGGAGGCCACCAAACCAAAGGGGAGGTCTTTGCTTGCTTTTCCTGTTAGAGATGCTAGTCTTTTTTTTAATAACTGCTCTGAAGATGTTTTCAGGAATAAGAGAAGACGGTGCTCTTTCATCAGCTCTTTGGCTATTTGCTTGCGATAAAGAAAGAGTGAATTGATCCGAGCCAAGTAGTTCGGCTAAGCCGGAAAGAAAGAGTTAGATCCTCTTTGAGATGAAATGCGGCAATGTCCTAATCAAACCAGGCGCAAGGTCAATGATTTCGCTCAAGGCTCAAGGCATAAAGGCTCTTATTCCTTCTGCATTGGTCTCGGAGGGCCCTCGCTCTAAAGGGTTGATGGCAGCTATCCTGCTCTATCAGAGATAATTGGAATGGAATTGGTGTGGTTCGCTAGCTCTTTCTTTTGAGACGAATGAATTCCGAATAAAGGAAGGCGGTCGTGATAGGGAAAGGCCTTTCCTTATTACCAGGAAAGATAAAATGGGCCAAATTGCCTGCTAGAGAAGAAGCTCTTAGGGAATCGATCTAGACTAGATGAGATGCCGGTGCCATTAAACTAGCTGTCAGAACGAGTTCAAGAGATGAGAATCCAGGTAGTGAAGTCACCCTCAGGGGAAGAATCATTCCATTCACTTGTGAAACTGCTAAGAAGAATAGCTTTTCTCTGAATCCACCACTCACTCTCTTTCGGGTAGGTTTAACAAGAAAGTAAAAGCAATCTCCTCAACCTAGAAAGAGAACTCCGGGATCTTCTTTTTCTTCTTAAGAACCCGAAGGCGAACTAATCCGTCTTGGTGCAGCTCCTAGTCCTGATCGATTGGCTACCGGGTGTTCACTCAAACTAAAAAGAAAAAAATGGAATATAGAATCCGGATCCTCATCTCCTTCCCACTTTAGTTTCACTCTTATCTCGGTTGCTAACCGGTGTGGGAGATGAAGCCAAGTCCTTTCCCTTCAAGGATCTAACTGCCACTCTTTCTAGTTTCATTCAACTGCCACTAACCCATATGCTTAAAACATCTCATTGGAGGTGGGATAGAGCTAATTCTGGGATCGAATGTCTCTCATTGTGGTCTTGATTTTAAGCTAGTACAATCAAGGATTCTGGTATGAATTTGGTAGTCATCTTGATCTCTTCTCTTGTCTGTTTTTTTTTAATAGGTCTTCTCCCTTCGATCCGCGAAGTAGGCAAGCAGGAATCTCTCCCCATTTCTGTTTATGGATAGAAAGAATATCTCCTTAGGAGAGTATTTTATGAGTTGACTATAACCCGAAGGCTTCTTTCAATCGATCTAGTAGGTAAGAAATAAGATCTTCGTATAGTTAATGAATTAAAGCGAAACCACTAGGTTAGATCTCGTCTGTGATCCCTGGGCTTGTTAATTGAGACAGAAACCCCTACTATCGATCGTGGCCTTCATTGAGTGCATTTTTTGCTCTTTGACATAGTATGGCGGGAAGGCATGAGCAAGGCACTTACAAGGCCTTTCACAGCTCAAATCCATGCATTAAGCCGCTAATCCCTTTTATAGCAAAGTCCCAGCAGGCTACCTCATCGGGAAATCTAAATTCTTTCACCGAACCAGGGGGGGCACGATGAATACATTGATTATCTGGGTCCGATCGTCGCTAGAGGCCCGTCGACTATAATACACTGTTCGAAATTTCTTCGTTTCTGCTGAAACAAAACGGGATTGGCTATCTTAACCTTAGCAGTTTTGCGAGCAAACGTAGACGAATGCTTGCAAGACCAGCAAAGCCCTACTTATTAGGAGGGGACTCTTTGGCACCTTAGAGAAATTCCTTTACCTAGGGGATCAAGTGGTAGTTGATCAATGAACTAATATCTTTCGGTATAGGGCGAAGGTAAGGGCTTGGGCATGGCACGAGGGTTGTTAAGCTCACATCCGTTGTAAGACTTTGTAAGAAATGCTGGATTGTGCCCTCCGAGCAGAAGGTGTCCTCGGGTCTTAGTTGGGTTTGTTTGAGTCTAAATCCTGATTACGTCGAGTGGAGAGGCCTTAGTGTTCAACGCACCACGTCCATTCTTATGGAATCCATCTGGACAGCTTACCCTTAAACTTTTGCCAACCCCAGAGAAGAGAACTTCGAGGATACGCGGTAGACATGCTTTTCCCAAGAATCTTCAAACTTTTTTGCTTATGTAATGGGGGAGGTACCAGCTGATGTCTTTGAAGACATTCAGAAGGACGTTCGAGATATGGAGGGGTGCTTTGGGTTTGATCTGAGATGGGTTCATGCCAGGCTGGGTGCAGTGGCCAAGGCAAGATTTGATACCCATCATCTCGAGGAGTACGCCCAGACTTCAGCAGCGCTCGAGAAAGCTACAAGTACATTGGCTCAACTTGAAGGAGAGTTGTCTCGGCGTAGTGAAACTGCTTCTGCCCATTTGGTGAACAACTCTGTTGCTACTAAAATGAAACATTTTCCCCTCGAGGGAGTGGTTATTTTCCCGATGAAATCGAGGGCACAAGTTTTAAATGGGTAGGGAGTTCCACGGCTGGAGCATGTATGAGGTTGCCATGTAGTTGACAAACCTTGCACCTCTTAACAAATGTTGCTGAATCTATCTCCATAGTTGGCCAATAGTACCCCAGGGTCATCAGGTGATCATATATCTTTGCGCCGCCAATATGTCCTGGGGCGTGGGCTTCCTCGAGAACCTGCTGCACATCCGGATGGAGAGGATGGCCATTATAGCCCTTCCTGTAAAGTTCTCCTTGCTTAGCAAAGAAGCGAAATGCCCTTTTCTTTATTCCAACTACATCTTTTGTTTCAGAGGGGAGGATTTTTTGATCCAGAAAAGAAATACAATCAATATAGGGCTTTCTCCAGTCTTCATAATATAATGCTCTAAGGCACATTCTGCTGGACATGGTGAACCACGCCGGTTAAATGCGTGGGACAGAGGGCTCGTAGTACCTGCTACCGCAGCTATGGGAAGGGAAGGAGCCTAAATCGACCTTTTTTATTTTGAAATGAAAAAAAGCAGTACAAGGAGATTAGACTCTCGGATGAGACTAAGTAGCTACCGACCGTTCGGACGCGCCCTTGACCTATCTTGATTAAGACCGAAACCTATCTAATCGAAAGTGGGGTCTAGTTTAAGCTGTCAAACAAATGGCCTGGAAAGAATAACCACTAGTAGGGATATAGATGGAGTCTTGCTCAGTAAAGAGAGTTGTAGATTCGTAGAACAGGAGAAGAGCCTTGACTTTCTATTAGATTAGTCCAGCACGCTAGCTGCAATCTTTCTAAAGCAAGAAGGGAAGGGGGAAAGTTTACTTTGAGAAAGAAAGGCCTTCTCTTCTATTTCGATTCTAATCTTAGGAAAGGTGCGTTATCGCTTTGATTTCTCGTTAGCTAGGCTTCAATAAGGACGTTTAGGCTTTACTAATAAGATAGAAAAGAAAGGCCTTTTTCATCAGGGTGCAAAGGTTTGGAACCTTATAAAAACTAAGAGCGTTTTCTTTCAA